TAATCTAGACACATCTGGATCTAAATTCAGATCTATCAGATGGAGAGCACATGTTCTATTGGATTTAGCTCTGAAGTCTGGTGATAGCCCGTTTTAAAACTCCCTTCCTTCTTAAAATGATTGACTTGCTATTCCGTACAAAATTCAAAAAATATCCACTGGCCTTGGTTTCCAAGATTTAAAGACGTTTCGCCACCTCTCCAGGAAGCTTTCTCAATTCAAATGTCTGGATCCGTAGTGAGTAAATTTTTACGGAATGACTATGACCTGGATGACTGAGGACCTTCATCAGCGATTGACTTGCTAATTTGGATTTAAGACTGGACTCCATGTTATGCCTTAAATTTCAAAATACGTAATCAATTTCTGTTTTTTTGTGTTTTGCAGAAAAACAAATATAAACCATGGATCACTGGGGTGTTCACTAAAATTCAACACTAAAGTCCAACAAAGTATTATCTTACTGATATGCAGAGTAATAAAACTGAGTTACTTAATAGAATTTTTCTATCGAAATGTACAGATTATACATCAAAGTTGTAAAATTATCAGCCACAAATAAACAGACATACATTTGTTTCCAAAACACTCACCTCAGTGTCAGCCAGTTGTACCTTCATACGTTTGAGTTTTTCAGTCGTCTGCTCCTGTAACTCTACTGTTTCCTTTTTAGAGTTGTGCTGATGCAGAAGCTTCATCTGTGCTTCATGAACCTGTTGAGATAAGGATACCAACAAATCAGTAGAGGAATGAGTGCAACAACCACAACCAATCTAGAATCCATCATGCGGCCATTTGCCAAAAATATTACACAGACGGCGCAAAGAATTCTCTTCGAACTCACATTCTCCAGTTTTTTTTTTTTTTTTTATATCGTTTCAGTACTAGGAATGATTCACTTTAAATCGGTCTGTCGCAGACTTTAAATTTTCAGAACAACCTTAATTTTTTGGCCACAGACTCAGCAGTATTATATTATAATAAGAAAAATCTATTTAAAAAATATATATATTTTTAAACTGCATATGAGAAAAAAAAACATTGTTACTGTTAAAATCTTTTTTAACAAGTCCAGGAATCTTCAACGTTTTCCAAACTAATGGTTAGATGGAGCGGGGACCCGCTAATTATATATATTGCATGAAATTGTGTTATATCAAACTGGTCCTAGAGTCACTCTATTGTAACTAAAGTAATTTCTCCATGGGATTATTAAAGTATTTCTGATTCCTGGTTGATGGGACAGGTGCTGTGAATGAAACGGTGCCCAGTTTGAAAGAGCTCCTGTGTGTCGCTGAATGTG